GAAGACCTAGATTCTAGCCCCTGCCCTTGATATTAATTAGTTGGTAACCTTGGGCAGATAGATTACTTAACCTCTCTGAGCATTAGTTTCCTCACATACTGGAGGGAGAAAAGAGTTGAAAACATTGTTTTATAAGAACTAGAGGCTGGGTGCGGTGGCTCACGCCTGTAATCCTAGCTCTCCAGGAGGCCGAGGAAGGCAGATTGCTCGAGGTCAGGAGTTCAAAACCAGCCTGAGCAAGAGTGAGACCCCGTCTCTACTATAAATAGAAAGAAATTAACTGGCCAACTAATTTATATAGAAAAAATTAGTCAGGCATGGTGGCGCATGCCTGTAGTCCCAGCTATTCGGGAGGCTGAGGCAGTAGGATTGCTTGAGCCCAGGAGTTTGAGGTTGCTGTGAGCTAGGCTGATGCCACGGCACTCACTCTAGCCTGGGCAACAAAGTGAGACTCTGTCTCAAAAAAAAAAAAAAAAAGAAAAAGAATATAAGAACTAGAATTTTCTCGTCATGGTTTTATCGTATTACAGGAGACCACACAGCACAGTGCTAAGAAGCATGGGTTTGGAGTTAGTGGATCTACTGGCTGTGAAACATAAACCACAATACTTTACCTATTTTGCCTTAGTCATTACGTCTATAATACCTATCTTAGAGGGTGATGTGAGTACAAATTAGATATTTACAAAGTACTCAGCATTATTGTAGGCAATAGTTATTTGTTCCATATTACCCTTATTTCCTCAATTCTAAAATGCCAACGAGTTAAATAAAAGCTTTTCTGACAGAAAAAAAAGAAAACACTATCCCACTAACTATACACATAGGTGAGAAGCAACCCGATTAAAGCAGCATTAAATGTGGAAGAAATGTGCATGTAAAAATCTATGAAATATGCTATTAAGTGTACCAAAGTGAAAAATCACAACTGTTTTACTGTAAAGGATGGGAATGAATTTCTTTGCTGCTAGGTTACCTTATGTGGGAACCTAATAAGATGCCCTTAGTAAATGTAAGATTATTTGACTTGGACAAGTTTAGTTTACCCATAGCTATATGAGAATTCTGGTACCAAATGAGGTACATTTAAACTGATAACTAATGGGTCTTTATTTGCATTCATATTGAATGAAACTGAACAAAGCTTAATTCACAATTTTAAACTGTACCTATGTGTACATCAAGTGCTGCTGACGACTTATCCGTGGTAGGATCACTGATGAGAAGTACTTTGATACCATTGGCCAGCTCTAGCCCACGATATTCTCGCTTGTCTTCAGGAGATTTGATAATGTGATTTCCTATTCTCTTGATAGCTGGATTATTCATTTTGCTGTAAGTCTTTTTTTGGAAACTGAAAAGAAAAAAGATTATTAATTGTTGGTTTGTGACTGCTTTTTTTTCTTAAAGGACAAAGAATAACATCAAGCAATCTTAACATAAACGTTAGATAAATTCTCTTACAAAGACCTTCTGGTAGTCTTCTTTCTTCTCTAGGAAGGCTAGAGTTACAGTAATGGGAAAGGACTACCAGCACACAGAATCTTGTGGGAGTATTGGTTGATATTAGTGCAATGAAGGGATTTTCCAGAGTCTGGGGTATACATATTTTTTGAGAGATGTTACTTTTATCTATAAAAGTAACATCTCTGAGGGCTGCTTAAGAGACAAAAAGTTAAGCTGCTATATTATTGGCAGGTTAATATACCACTTAGGCAAAGCCAAAAGCATATCTGAAACTACAGAGGAAAAATAAGCCCGTGCTAGCACATTTGCTTCCTATCTGGAAAAAAAAAGAAGTGGATTTGACTGCCCCTTAAAGACTGAGCAAGATTTAAAGACAAATAATGGGCAGCTGAAACAGGCATACAATTATCTTGGATAAAATATTTTTCTGTGTTAAAAATCTCCAGAGATTAAGAGAGGGAATCATCTAGTTTGCTTTTATCAGAATACCTTCCTCTCTGAAATCATCTGTAACTATTCTTCTAATCTGAATAAAATTAATAAACCAAAGAGGTTTGTTACTATTAAGACTATCCCCTAGGTCTTCTTTTGAGGACAGAAAATACTTGGGATTTTAAAGATCAATATTGTAGGTCATACTAAACGTATAATACTGGTTTGTAAAAATCACATAGTGGTTTACACAGATAATGCTATATGCAGATAGCACTTATGGTCTTTCTCTATTTATAGTAGAAACAATTTCTTGAAAAACAAAGCATAAAATACTAACATTTTGGGGATATAAGGCCACCACTGGAAAATTCAAAAGCAATTTGGAAGCAAAAAGTCATTATTAACAATTCTTTTCTACTGCATTAACCATAAGCCACTTAAGTTCAACATCAAAGAGAGATGAAAATATCTAAGTGCAAAAATCTAAAAATGGTGTTTTGTGGTTAAAAATAAATAAATAGGAATAATTCTCAGAGTGACAGGAAATGGTCTATTTAAGACTCCAAAGAGGGGCATAAGGCACCTCAGATAGCAGTCCTGATTCAGATACTTCCCAAAGGATAATCTGTGTAGACTATAGCAAATGCCTTTAGCATGTACATAGTTTGTTTCAAAAGCCTTCATTTAAGTTTAATATAAAATGCTATTTTAAAAAATGAGTCCCATGGGGGATGGTCATGATGGAGACTCAGACTTTTGGGGGGAGGGGGGGAAATGGGCATTTATTGAAACCTTAAAATCTGTACCCCCATAATATGCCAAAAAAAAAAAAAAAAAAAATGAGTCCCAACCCAGCAACAATATAACACTAAATAAGCTATGAGGTAGCCTCCATCAAGACCTCCAGTAAGAAAGGCAGCATTAAAAGGTGGCAGTAGGAACTTAGTGGGCTCCAAAGAGAATGCCTAAACTCCCCTTCCACAAGGCTCTACTAGAGGGACAAGGGGGTTGGGCTTCTAGTGATGGATTCCACTAGGTGGGAGCAAAAGCCAAAGGCTATTTTGGTTCCATTGCCACTGTTTATAACCAACTCCCTTTACTGTGCTTGCCCCTGCCAGTTTGATTCAGGGGAACCAAAGATTACAAATGATTAAGACGTAATGATGATAATGATCCTCTAAAACAGGCATCCTCAAACTAGGGCCTGCGGGCCACATGCGGGTGTTTTTGCCCATTTGTTTTTTTACTTCAAAATAAGATATGTGCAGTGTGCATAAGAATTTGTTCATAGTTTTTTTTAAACTATAGTCTGGCCCTCCAACAGTCTGAGGGACAGTGAACTGGCCCCCTGTTTAAAAAGTTTGAGGACCCCTGCTCTAAAACTTTGGTCCTAACCACAACTGTAGTAGGGAGATGAAATATAGTTCACTTTGGTAGTATAAACTGTCTTGTTTTGTGGGAGGTTAAAAACTATTAAAGATAACCACCTCAACTAAAGGCTACATTCTGTACTTTTTTTGAGAGTTTCAACTTCATTTATCCAGATTTTAATTTTCTTAGACAAAAAATATTGAATTGTAAAACAGAGTAAGATGTAGGTAGACAGAATAGTAAGAGATGGAGAATTTCCAGCCCAGTAAGAACCATTTATAAATGACCAGAGTCTACTACAAGCATGGATATATAATAACTTATTTGGACACGAAAGTTGTGCCTGATTAATATCCCTGATTAATATTAATAAAGAGATAAATGTATTCTATAAGTCACACATAAAAATTAATCTAACTACTTTTAGACATTTGTACAAGGGATCAAGAACAGCTATAAATTTCCAAGCTAGCAATGCTCCTAAATCAAAAATGACTTCTTGAGAAAGTAAATGCCAAAAGAAACAATAGCAATATTTTCAAACAAGACCCATTCCCAGCAATCCACAGGGAGCCAGCTTTACCTATAGCATATCTACCAACACTTGCTACAACAATTTGATTCTCACCTTCTGGAGAACTGACTGAAATGACTGGGAACTCCTCCTCCTCCTCCTCCTCCTCTGATGAATTCATCAACAGCTTGCCTGTCTCTGTATTTATACTCATAAGATCACTTGTCTATCTACCTCAGCTCCCTCATTAGCATAAATCCTTCAGTAATTTTATTTATTGCAAATGTTCTCCAATAAGCAAGCATTCTGACATTTTAGATGACAAGCTAGTGCTAACTCAAATGCTTTCCCAGACATTTATTTGGTATTTTTAACCTGTCAAAGTCAATTTTAGGAGCAACAAAATTACCTTCAATTTTAGGGACATTACCATACATTGGAAACTTCATAAGGCAGCACAGAAAACATAAGTCTGTTTTCAGCATTCTGATAAACTGGAGAGATGTTTAGTAACTACAACATATTTTGTGATTTTGTTCTGAATTTAAAACAACTATAATCTCAGAAAGTAAAAGCTGGAAGAGTCATTTTATGTTACCGGTCCTTTGTAGTTCATGGGCTGGCAGCACTGGCTCTCCCTGGGAGCTTGTTAAAAATACAAAATATCAGAATCCATCAGAGACTTATCTATCCATACTCTGCATTTTAACAAGAGCCCCAGGTGAGCTAGTCCTTTTGTCTTACTTACAAGGAAACTGAAGCTCACGGAGCTTAAATCAGTTGCCCAAGATCATGCCACATAAAGTCATAACTCCTAGTCCTGTGTCCAGCTTCACACTCCATATCCAAACAAATATTTAAGAAGACCTATGAAGGTCTAGACACTGCACTATGCATGTTGACTAAAGAGATAAGAACACCAGAGTCATTATTGTGAAGGAACTTAGACTAGTGACAGAGTCAGAGATGACAACAGGTCATTATATTTTAAGTGTAGTTACAAAGATGTCCCTGGGGCACTACAGAAGTTATGAAAGGGGTGCACCTAACCCTGTCTAGGAGGGGAGAGGGTGAGTAGAAGCATGCCAGATTAAAAGGCAAGGGCACAAAATAGAAGGGAATACTTGATCAAGGCCTGGCAATTAGGCCAGGTGAGGTGGCTTACGCCTGTAATCCTAGCACTTTGGGAGGTCAAGATGGGCGGATCATCTGAGCTCAGGAGTTTGAGACCAGCCAGAGCAAGAGCAAGACCCCGTCTCTACTAAAAATAGAAAGAAATCAATTGGCCAACTAATATATATATAGAAAAAATTAGCGGGGCATGGTGGCACATGCCTGTAGTCCCAGCTACTAGGGAGGCTAAGGCAGAAGGATTGCTTGAGCCCAGGAGTTTGAAGTTGCTGTGAGCTAGGCTGATGCCACTGAACTCACTCTAGCCTGGGCAACAAAGCGAGACTCAGTCTCAAAAAAAAAAAAGGCCTAGCAATTAGAAAAAAACATGATGAATACAGTGAAAAAAACAAGAAGCTTGATGTTAATGAGCTACAGTCAGAACCTCCACTTAAAGATCATGGCCTAAGACCTGTAAAGTCCTAAATATCAGGTTTGCAAAAACCAGTTCCCAAACAGAAGATCATTTCCAAATTCCATAGCAAGAGTAAATTTTATTATGCAAATAATCTTTTATTCAGATGACCTTTACAGCCTTTTCCTCATATCTCTCTAAGTGTTTCACAGCCTATGTAAGAGCAAATTGTAAAATTTTACTTTGCCTTTCTCTCCCTCTCCTCCCCCAAGCCCCTTCACAAATTTAAAATTAGACCTGATTTAGAAATGATAACCTGTAAACCTGAACAGGTGTGTGATCATGCTAATAGTGAATTACAAATCAAAACCTCCCTTGTGTGGAATCCACACACCCACTCTCAAAACCATAGGTGGAAGTCAAGGCCTCTGGCACTCCTACATGTGGAGGACCAACCCAAAGAGAAAATGCCTGGAATCGGAACCTCACCACAAAACATCCCCACTTCCCCATGGAAGGCAGAGGTAAATTAAGGTGTCAAGGCAGTGGTGGTATAAGCCCTAGGATGCCTCAATATAGCAAGTCACAATGTTTAAGACTACATATTTCCAAGTACTATTAATTAATGTTATTTGGACTAAAAAATAACGACGTGTCAGGGAACCACCTAACCATGGCCCTTCAGTTATAGGGACAGGTATACATCACTTCATACACCAGCTAGATCAGAAAGGTGGGTATAAAATAAAATCCTGTCAGGTGAAATCTCATTTGCCCATGATGAGATGCTTTGCTTTTGTTTCAGGCAGAATGTCAGCAGTTCCAATTCTCTGTCCTGGACCTCTGAAGGGAAGTTTATGATCAAGAAATCAACCTTTAAATGAACTAGAGTGGTGGCAATGTAAAGGAATCCCTTTATTTTTCCAAATTTTGTTTTACTTTTGGTGTACACATATCAATGGTTGTTAATTCCAAAAGTGACAAGCTTAAGACAGAATATTTTATAGAGACTTTCCTTGGTTTTTGCAAACCAAGGAAACTT